GCTCATTCCCACATACCAATAAGCTTCATATTTTTGTTCATATACAATAAATTTCTTTACTACACAAAATATTTTTCTAAATACATGTTTATAAAGATTTCTGGCTATACCTTGAAAGAGAGAGATATATATATATAAAGATAAAACATCATTACATATAGTATACTATAGTATAGTAATATGAACCGTTTCAAAGTCCCGAGGATGTGAAAATGGATGCGAGAAAGCAACAACTGGCATTGTACCAGCGCCTATACTATGCCAAGCGCAAGGAAAATGAACAATTTATGCAAAAGAAGCGCGAAGCAAGTTTCAGGCACAACCAAAAGAAGAGAAGTAAGGAACACATAGAAGAGATAAATTTAGGTGAAGAAGACTAGACGCCTACGCAAATTACCGAAATCATTACTGAGAAACCTAGCGGAAAGAAACGCGGAGCGCCAACATTCGATATGAACGAATACAAAGTGATGATGCCAAACTCTTTAAAATGATGATCTCTAATGAATTGCATTCAACCACTATTTCTTGTTTCTTCTTTATATGAGCGAGAAACAGAAAATCACTAATGATTGTAGATTTTGATTAGGCCGGTTTCGGAAGCAAACCCAGAACTTTGGCGGAAGCACGGGAGAAAGACTAAACCATAACAATGGGAGATATTAACGACATTTTGTTTATAAAGAATGTTGAACAAAAAAGAAAGCCGGTGGGCAAAACAGTTTTATCAGTTTTATCGCCCTCATTCCGCATGAATATCAGATGGAGTTGTGTTTTTTCTAAACGATTTGAAAGAGCAAAGTTTAAGGCAGGGGTGTTGGTGCTTGATGTCTGTGACAAGTTTATGCAGTGCCGATAAACAGCAAACAAGAAGGAGACGTAGCAAGTGGAATCAATGAGCGTTTAAACAAAAAGGGAAACAAGCCCGAAATAATTTATACAGCTGGTGAAGGTGCGCTAAACAAAGAGGCAATACACAAGTATTTGAAGGATGAGAACATAGAACATCACCGAACGAGGGCGCACCCCGAAAGAGCCATCCGCACTTCTAAAGAGATGTTAAACAAAAGGATTTGAAGCCGAAAGTAAAGGGGAAAGGAAGACATACAATTGCCAGATGACATATGAGAAACATTGCTAACCTGCAATAATCATACGAAACACTCGGCAACGAGATTTACACCAAAGGAACTCCGAAAACCCGGTAATCAATTCAAAAGTGAAGTTTATTTTAACAATGAAAGGAAAGAAGAACTGCGTTTATCCTGAATTAGACGTAGGCGATGAGGTTAAAACATTTAGGAAGCGAAAGCCACATGAAAAAGAAAGTGTGGGAAATTACAGCCAAAGTATTTCTACAATAGAAAATGTTGAAAGTAAGTTAGGTCAAAATGATTATAGGCTTGGAGGTAATCAAAGGCAGTATTTACGGTTTGAGTTGTGACAAGTTTAATAATCTTTGGCTTTCGATTTCTAAAGAAAAATCATCTAAAGAAATAATACCTATGTAAAGTTGTTGGAAGTGCGAAGGAATGAGCAAAACAAGGTTAACAAATAGCAAGTTGCCTGTTGATGTATATCATAGTGTATGTGAGTATGATAAGTGCATTAAGTGTATGAAAATGATAGAAACAATGGAAGGTTTGGATGAACGCAAAACACTTGATTTCAATTCTAAGCAAAGTGCAAAAAAACTATAACTCACTTACAATATGGTAACTGCGACATTGATGCAGATACGGACAGGCGAGAATACAAAAACACAATCAAAAGGTCAAATAACACACTGCGAATGATACTGAAGCAATTTGTAAATATCAGAGACTATCCAGACCATGAAGGTCTTATGTATCACGGTGTATGTCACCTGTCACCGTTGCTTCTTCCATGTTACCATTAACGGTTTCTCCGATATAGGAAGGTTGCAGAGGAAATCGCAGAACACAACATTAAACATGCTATTACGAGGTTTAAAGGCTGTTCCATGAGCAAACAAGTTTATAGTACAGGAGGTAATGCGCGAACGGTTTGGTTGTTGGCGAATTGGTTGGAGTGATTTTTATCATACGACAACCGAGGAAGTTATGTAGTATGTAGAGTATGTATTTTCGCTACAATTAACAACCACAACATGATTCATTAATAATGCTATGACTGTAGCAATCCTAAACCCTAAAGCTATGATTGTAGCAAACCTGAACCCTAAAGTTAAGCAACCTGGTTTCTCACTCTCGTGTATAGTTGCTTTTCTTCGTTTTTGCTTGCGTTTTATTGCATTTCGTTTGTTTTTGCATGGGTGCTGCCTATGCTTTTGCTCTTACGTTTTCGTTTCTTGCAATAAGCGACAACCCCCCCCCCCCCCACCCCAACCCCAAGGCACGTGTCACGTGTGGTTGTCCAGAAACAGCAATCCGAACATGGAAGGATACGCTATGCAACAGGCTTGAAGCCGATGAGACAGAGAAACATAGCCTTCAATGGCCAGATGACATGTGTAGACCGGAAACCCCAAAACGGTTGGTCTTGGACTGGCAAGGCCGGTGATGTAAATATGCATGGATTATGCTGGTCCATGTCGCGTTGGCACGATGCGTTTTTCTGCATGATCAGCGGTTGGGCACACCACACTGCCCCAAGTTATTGCATCCAAAAATGAAGAGCCGACCATCTGCCCGCACTGCACAGGTATGACCACCACCAGCTGAGCCTGCCAAAACTGGTCCCACATCTGCTGGCACATCACATTGCCCATATTTAAGACAGGTGAGCCGACCATCTACCGCTACTGCACAAGTCTGGCACTTGCCAGCTGAGACTGCCCAAACTTGTCCCAACTCTGCTGGCACATCACACCGCCCACGTCGCTTGAGTGCACTGCAGGCTATCAAACCGTCTTTCCTCACGACAGACTTGCAAGAGTACGGTGAGAATGCGAGAGTCCGAGTCCACCTGCGCATGTTTCCGGACAAGCATCCATCACGTTGCAGCAGTGGCAAAACGCAGCGCGGTTCACCCAGCACGGGAACCCACCTGTAGCCAGCGAGGGCTGGAAGGAACGTCTGCATTGCCGTGCTGGATGTCCAGGAAACTTTTGCAAGTGCCAGGCCAGCTTTCTTAACGATGGAGACATGCATACAGGAAGGAACCGTCTGGAAAGGGCGCGTCAGATGCGGAAATCTGACCATCTGGACAAGTAGGCGATTTGCTATGAGCAAAGACAAGAACCATAGATCGTTGGGCTGGAGATGTAGGTTTAACTCACAAAACATGTGCCTTCATTAACGTTGCAACCTTATCCCTAAACACTATTCCGCTTATATATCTGTAAAAGGTTAGGGAGTTCAAGGTGGATACCATGGGTTTTCTAAGTGGTGGGGCACGCTATGGGGTTAAGCATGTCATTTTCGATGTGGCTATTCAATTGGTTCATCCTATGGGATCATGGTGTGTTTTCATAAAGGGGGTATCGAGGTGGTGTAGATTTTAGGGTATAGGTTGTTACGAAACGATGGCTTCATGGTATGGGTATTGGGGTAGTCTAGAGGGTGGGATATAGGCTGTTATGCAAGAATGGGTTCATGGTAGCCTTGCATTCACCCCTTGCGAGTCCCTAAACCCTAAACCCTAAACCCTATACATCTCGAAAGCCTTGCAAGCGACTTAAGTGTGAGCTGTAAACCATAAACAGCATAAATCCTCCAACTCCCGAGACCTCTGGCGGCCTCCGAACCTAAGAGCAGCTGAGCGTCAAGCAATCCTGCCGGGGGCGGTCGCTGCTTTCTACGGATCGGCCAGGGGGGTTGCGACTTTGGTGAAAATGTGTTTCAACACCGGCAGGTATTTCTGTAGCCATTCAGGCTCGGCAAGTTGCCGCAACCCCTGCGTCCTAAGCAGTGGCGTCAGACAGGAGCAGCTCCAAATCCCCATCACACGCATGCCAAAGACGTCCCGATGACTGCTGTGACTCCGACAAGCGCTGTACGACGACAACGACTTCGGAGAACTCCCCTCTTCCTGTCCCTTCCCTCTTCTGCTATGCCGGCTTCCGCTTGCGAATCTGTCTGGCGCTGAACATGCGATGCTTGGCCATGGAAGCGCAACAGCCTGATGGCCTTGTGCGCTACGTGTGCGAAAAATCCCTCCAATTTATGCCAGTATGGTATGCCGCCGTCTGCCACATTCTCTGCCTGTAGCGTGGGTGCCAAGCATGACCAGGCCGACAGCACCACTCCAAAGGAGTGCAGAAAAACAAATCATATACGAAACACGGAGAGAGAAAGATACAGAGAGAGTCCACAACCGACGCTGGCACAAAACAAGCGCAAAAGAATGCTTTTCCAGCCCGTGCAGCCCTGTTTCTCTAGAAGCCCAGACCTGTAAACCCAGCAGCCTCAAACCACGAAGCCACAAACACGTCGGCAGCCTTGCCAGACAGCGGCATGGTAGCTCAGAAGCAGCTCACTGCACCAGCCGCATGGCTCGGCAAACAAGTTTAGGAGTGCCCGGTCTTCAGGAGGAGTTTGAGGATGTCTGCACGGTCTCGGGAGGACAGGGCAGAGGGTGGACAGCGTTCTGGGGCTGAGGTGGCACGTTTCTGTTGAGAAAGGTTTAGGAAGCCTAGGGTTTTTATGCAGGTTCATGCGATCAGGCTGACGTAGGCCGTTGGGTTGCCATGTCGGAGTACAAGTCTTGGGTGGACAGGGCGAGGCTGCAACTTAGTGAGCTCAGATCGTGTTTCTTAGCTTACAGGTTTTATAGTGTTCGGCTCAAGCCCGGCAAGCTGCCTGCCACTGTCAGGCGAGCTTCATATCCAGAAGGGCGCAGAGCGAAAGACAGTCCAAGTCGAAGTCGCGCGCGCACACACAGCGACCGAGACACAGCAACCGCCGACCACCCTGCTCTCTCTTAAACATCATTCCTGACTCCTGCAGACTCCTACAGCAGAAGCGCTCAGTTCTTAACAAGGCATGTCTTGAAACTTTCTTTCCGCGGATAGAAGGTCATTCTGTCAGGCTGCCCTTGACCAGCTCATACCTCAGCAGCTTGCGGTGTAGGATTGAAGATCCTGGATTTTGCAGCTTGTGCCGAAGAGGCTTCCTATGGGCTTTTGAGTGCAAAGGGAGAAGGAGGGACTGGAGAGATTCGATGGAACTCCGGGTCCCCAAAGCACAGCGAGCACAGGGTCGGGTTTCGGGTTACAATAAAAAAACAGTCACTGGCGCCCGGGTACTCACAAGACCTACCTCTTACAGAGGTACAAGTAGGGTATTTAGGGTATTTAGGGTATTTAGGGTTTGGGGTTTAGGGTTTAGGCAACCGGAATCTGTTCAAGATGCTCCAGCCGACCCTTAGCCTAAGGTCCAGCAGCGAGGGCTGATCAGCAGGCCTCGAGTTTTCCTGTTTCTGCCCTAGGCCACTGCAAAAAAACTCAGACAGGGCCAGTGCGCGTGAAGAACACGACGGCATGCTGCGGCCAAGCGCGAGCCATTGCGGCTGCAAAGCCTGAGTCATGCAGTTCGCAGGTTTTAGACCCAACACCCTAAACAAACCCTAAACCCTAAACCCCAAATCGGATAGCAAACGCCACTTCCTGGTGGACCGCCCAGGAGCCCAGCGAATTCAGGGGCCCTCAGAGGTTTCGGGGTGGTTGGGGATAGTTTTCAAGGTACTTGGTCCTCAACACCATGTTGCACCAGGCTCAGCAAGCATAGGTTCCTTGCAACCCCTAGCGGCGCGTGCCCAGACACAGCAAGGCCGAGAATGGGCTCCAAGAGCTACGCAAGCTGGGTATTTGCCAAAGGAAATGTGGCCAGGGCTCAGATTTGAACAAAACCCAACTGGTCTGGGCATCTGCTAGCTAGAAGCCCTCGCAGGTAGGGCCGGTTTCGGGTTTCGGGTTTCGGGTTAGGGTTTAGGGTTTAGGGTTTAGGGTTTAGGGTTTAGGGTTTAGGGTTTAGGGTTTAGGGTTTAGGGTTTAGGGTTTAGGGTTTAGGGTTTAGGTTTTAGGGTTTAGGGTTTAGGGTTTAGGGTTTAGGGTTTAGGGTTTAGGGTTTAGGGTTTAGGGTTTAGGTTTAGGGTTTAGGGTGTAGGGTGTAGGGTTTAGGGTTTAGGGTTTAGGGTTTAGGGTTTAGGGTTTAGGGTTTAGGGTTTAGGGTTTAGGGTTTAGGGTTTAGGGTTTCGGACAAGGCTCCGTTGAAAAGGACTCGCCAATCGTCTCGGACAGTGGTCCTCCAGAACCGGCTCCCAGGCCGCAGGATGGACAAGGTATCCAGTCTGTAAGGCCAAGGTTCAGGGTTACGGTTTAGGGTTTAGGGTTTAGGGTTTAGGGTTTAGGGTTTAGGGTTTAGGGTTTAGGGTTTAGGGTTTGGTGTGTAGGTTTAGGGTTTTTTTTCCACCCAGGGTTTAGGGTTTAGGGCTTAGGGTTTAGGGTATAGGGTGTAGGGTTTAGGGCTCGGGCACAAACTCCCACGACGGGCACAAGAAGAGTGAAAAACCAAAACCAAGCTTGCAGAAGCCACCCCGCGCCCTCCACAAACCTGTAAAGCCCAACAACAGCATGTTGAACTCTGATTCCACTCTCCTTAGGCAGTGGAGCAAGGAGCTATAGGTTCCAGCAGGGTCGGTGGACCACCGCCTTGTTTCGAAATCTTTGAGTTTAGGATAGGCAGGCGGTAACTACCAGGGTTTCAAGTTTCAAGGGCACCAACCATGCTCCAGCACTCAGAGTCTACCCTCAACCCTAAACCCTAAACCCTAAACCCTAAACCCTACATGATGTCTGGCACAATCTGGGTTGTCTGGCGAGGGAGGGGCAGGCTTCCTTGTGCTGCCATGAACGCACCTACTCCAGAACGAAGTTGACTCGGGATGTGCCCGACCTACACCCTACATCCTCCCAAGTTGTGTTTTGCTAGGCGGCCAGTCTGGAACAAGGGCCATCCTCCGAACGTTCCGAAATCCTGCCCTCCACCCTCCACCCTCCACCTCCACCCTCCACCCTCCACCCTCCACCATCCGCCCTCCACCCTCCACCCTAAACCCTCCATAGCGCCAAGGCCCCCCCCGCAACCCTCAACGCCACGGCTCGTTTTGATGACGTCGATCGGATAGATGCATCCCCAGGCTGCAGCGCCTGTGGCTCAGGGTTGAAGTCAGTGTAGCAGCTGTGGGTTTAGGGTTTAGGGTTTATGTGGCTTTAAAAGGTTGCATAGTTCCCACGGGCCTGATCCAAGGCCTGCCGGACTCGGACCATTATAAGTGAAGCTTCGCCGAAGCCCCCGCATTCCAAACCCCTTGCCCGGGAACCTTTAACCACCCTTTTAAGTTACAAGATGTTACAGCCCCCGTAAGAGATGCGTGCAATAGATGTTGTTTGGCGAAAACCCCAAAGAAAGTACTGACGGAAGGTTTAACCTATGTTGTGCAATGTGAAACGGTCAAACTCATGTAGCTAGAATTGTTCAGCTTTCTTGTGAGGGTCTTGTGGTGCTTGCGCGCCTATTTTTACCTCCTGCCCGTCCAGAGAATTGCACGCACCATAGAAACAGGCACAACGGCGGAAGTTCGTGCTCCCAGTCGCTTCGAGCATGGGTCGCGATCTTGTGATCGTCATTTCGAAAGCCGTGCCTATGACTTCATGGCTCTGGCCCTGTTTATGTTCCCGTGCGGCGCACGCAGGAAGAGCGCCCAAAGGAGTCAAGCAGCCGGATTCTAACAAGCACGCAGGCATACACATGAGCCAAAATGGAAGCGCCTGTTTTTGCCGCCAACCACATTATGAGGCGTTGAACTCTAAGTGAGCAAAGCCTTGCAGGACAGACAGGCACCTGCGCAACCGCCGGCGACGAAGCTCACGACGTCAGACTTGCCCATGATGCGGGTCATGGCTTCGAAAATGGTGAAGTATAGCCTGGGTTTAGGGTTTAGGGTTTAGGGTTTAGGGTTTAGGGAGTTGAGAATCCAGCACCCTGCCCGAAACCCCTCAAACCTGGCATGACCCTGACCCCTGCCACACCCTTCCGAAACCCTGAACTTCCCTGAAGACCGGCAGCCAGTTTGAGCTCTGCCCAAGCTTGAAACTTCATATCTTAATCGCTATGCTCAGAAACCCTAACCTTATCCCCACAAACTTCATGCAATTTCGATCCAAGCAAGGTGGCCCATAGCTCGGCGTATCGCGGAGGATGGTGATCCTTGCTGTTTGTGTGGCTTGGGGTTAAGTTTGGGACGCAGGCCCAGATCTTCCAAAACCCCTTAATTAAGGAATATACCCTGATTCATAATAAGGATCCCTCGCATAAATTAGGGTATATTCCTTAATTAAGGGGTTTTGGAAGATCTGGGGGGGTCTCTCTCCAGCTTCAGGGTCAGGGAGTTTGGGACCACGGTCCTACCTGAGACGGTCAGCTGCCAAGCAATCCGCGCGTCAAGCACCTCTGGCTCTACTGTGGGCTGTTTCTTGTAGTCTGAGCCAGAAAATGCGCACAAGCTTCAATACCCAGGAATCATATATCTCAATGGCCACCGTTTGTCTAAACGCCGCCTTCAACAACATCTGGCAACCCTCGCCACCCTTTTCCCAGAGACTTCGCCCGCCTCGATAACATCCCCTGTGAGCCAAGGCCGCCCTGCAAGCCCCCCGTACTCTCGCCACCCTAAACCTTAAACCCTTTTTTGAACCCGTGCTGAGGCCGAGGCGTGTGACGGCAAAGTGTCTGCACTGAACCCTAAACCCTAAACCCCAAACCCTAAACCCTAAACCCCAAACCCTAAACCCTAAACCCCAAACCCTAAACCCTAAACCCCAAGCCCCAAAACCCATCCGGACAAGACTCCCCAAGCCCCTGCAGGGGCCATGGGCCCCAAGCCAACCATGGTCGCGCACCATGGCGCGGAAAATCTGCCTCGGAAGCACTGGGTTTTTTATAGGATTATATACATATATATATATATACATAATGCATAGGATTATATATATATATACACATAATGCATCATGCAATATGATATGATCTAACAGAATAAGCTGGAAGTCACACACAAGAGCCACATCATTGCCCCGGAGGCCTCGGGCTTGGGGTTTAGGGTTTCGGGCTTAAGGTCTCATACCCTCAAGCACACGCATGCACATGCAGCTTGAAGGGGTTCTGGATGTACTGTACTGCCTAAGGGATTCCGGAAACCGCAGGTGCAAAAACCACGACGTTTCCTCTGAGGTCTCTGTGGCAAGGTGGCGCTCCCGAGGTTGGCTTCCAGGGGACTCAACATGTTGGGTTCAAGAGTGAAATTCGGAGAGGGACTTGTGTGTCGCGCTTGCAGTTCAGATATGAAGGCAGGATCCATGTCATGTTCAGAAGTACTTGAAATACATTCACTTAGTTCAGACACAGTTATTCCACGCTGCCATTCTTCTCTCATGGTGCCCTTGTTCTTCAAGTTCGTCTGCGCGATGCATTTCCTGGGAAGATGCCCAACGACGTCCAGTTCCAAAGAATAGAAGCTGCCACTTGAGGAGGGTCTGGGTTCTAGTCTTGACTGGATGAGCTCGTCTTCAAAAGAGCAGGCCTTTTTGACATAGAAGGAGCCCCGAAACCTAAGTGTGGTGGATTCAACATGAAGGCTTGTCCTGGGCCTTCCAGGCAAGGCTTCACAATTGAGCCGAAACCCGTGCCTGTTGGTCCGTCAATAAGCCATGTTTGTCGTGCCCAACGAAGTGGACTCATAATTTAGCGGGCTAGAGTTCGGAGCTCGTGGCTTGTATCTACACCCAAACATGCAAAACCCTCTTGGAGCGGGACTCTCGTGTCTGCCCACACTGCGTGGTGACCCTAAACCGTAAACCCTAAACCCCAAACCTTAGACCCTAAACCCCAGAAGGCCTTAGAATTCAGAAGGCATCTTAACTTGTTCCGACCCCCTAAACCCTAAACCCTAAACCCTAAACCCTAAACCCTAAACCCTAAACCCTAAACCCTAAACCCTGGAGCCCGGCGGCACTAGCTCCGTGGGCGCTGTGATCAACGCGCTGGCGGCCCCAGCAGTGGAGCCAGCGGCGAACGTTCGCCTGTGGGGTTTCGTGGTTAGGGTTCAGGGTTCAGGGTGCAGGGTTTAGGGTTTAGGGTTCAGGGCTTTTTTGCCACCCGACTAGCCACGGCAATGCGGTTCAGGGTTTAGGTATTAGGGTTTAGGGCTTCGGGTTTTTCCAGCGTTTGGGGCTTCGCTTGCTTGGTTTCTCTTGCTCGAGGCTTTCGGCGCTCAGACTCGCTTGCTAGATTTTCATTGACATAGGAAGACAGACACTGAAACACGCAAACGCACAGATACGTACGCCCACACACACGCACTCTCTCTCTCTCTCACATGCGCTTATTTGGCATGGATCTGACCGACGGTCGCACGCACATGCAGAACAAGTAGTTGTGCTTGCAGAAGCCGTCAGAAACATGCTGGTTGAGATAGGAGCAGCGGGATGAATGAAGTCATGCAGCATCTGCCCACGCAACAAACACAAACTCTCGAGGCCCAGGCGAGAGAGCAAGTGCAGAATTTTGGGGCAGGAGGAGGGCTGGCGGTTGTCTGGAGGTCTTACGAAATCATTGGTGCTTGCCTCATGAGCTCCTTAAGGCTTGGAATGGGTTTTCGAATGTTTGGGTTTGATAGTTCGGAGCCCGAGCTTTTTAGGGGGCATAAGGAGGGACCCCCAGAAGGGGCCCTTTAATCTTGTTCCCCTTAAAAGAGCCCCTATATATACCTTATATAGTCCCTATATACCTCAGCAGCCCCTCAATAACCCCGAAGTCACTCCTAAGGTCCCTTCTAATGGTCCCTCCTTGAGTCCCTTGAGAGCGCCTAAACCCAAACCCTAAACCCTAAACCCTAAACCCTTAAATGCAGCACGGGCTGCGGCAGTGAGAGGCTGGCGCCGTCCTCTGCAGAAGGGTCGCGCAACTGCCTCGGTGCAATCGAGCTTTCGGTGCTTAAGGCGAGGGGACCACCGGGTAGCATGAGTTTCGGACTCAAAGGTTTGTTTTAGGGTTTCTAGGGTTTAGGGCTTAGGGCTCATGATGTTTGGGGTTCTAGCTTTGTCTCTTCGAGATTTGGGGGAAGAGACTCGAGGAGCACCTCACAGACGTTCAGGGCAGAGAGGCTCCCTTCACGCATCGTCATGTTACATATTCTGGCCCCATGTTGGGGTCCTTATTCTAAGGCGGCCCCTATTAGGTACCCAAAAAAGGGACCATAACCTTAGTATAAGGCGGCCCCTATTAGGTACCCAAAAAAGGGACCACAATTTAGAGAACTGGCCATATGGGCCATGGCTTGGAGTGTTGTATGACCTGCGACCACGGCGCTCACAGGTGCGGCTACCCTAGGCCCTAGGTGCTGCCAGGATGGGCCATTAGGCTTTAAACTCCCCACAATGAACCCTATTAAAGGGCCTTTTAAGGGATTATAGGGTAGAATAGCCCATCCTGGCAGGCACTACCTTTTGAGGCAAGAACTGACGGTGGCTCAGCAAGCTTCACGGTCGGGAGTTTGAGGCAGCGCAGAACCAAAGCCAAGCTCCTTGAGCATGCCCTCCAAGTCGCTTGCTCGCGAGCTCGTAGGAAAAGAAGAGCACAGCATTCCTCGAAGGACCACAACTACGCCGTCTTCTGGTTGAAGCAAACCCTGCACCCAAAAGTCCACATCCCTATACTGCCAGGACTGGAGCCACCTCGCACACGCTCCAACTCAATCTTGTCCCTGTCCCAAGCCATTTCTTGCTAGCAACTCTGTTCCCTCCCTAAACCCTAAACCCTAAACCCTAAACCCTAAACCCTAAACCCTAAACCCTAAACCCTAAACCCTAAACCCCCCCAAGGCTCATCACGCCCACCGTCAGCGTTGGCGAGGCGTACCCCTTGTAGAGGCCTCGGAGTCCTGTTCAGTCGGATGCAAACCACTGGAACCTTGGGGACGAAATGAACCCTAAAAGGGTTTTTGGTTCATATAACCTCAATAGTAATTAGAGTAGTAATGGGTATATGAGCCCAATTCTAGGGTGCATTTGGTCCCCAAACCACTGGAATCCAGTAGAGTTTAGGAGGAACATGGAACGACACCAAGAATGGGCTGCAGCTGCAAGTCAGGAAGCCCAACAGGAAGCCCAACTGCGCTACCGTTTCCGACAAGCACTGGAGACACACATCAGGAGATATCGGTTCTTACACATGTATGTGATGAGCAAGCCGAACTCCTACGTTTTCCGTTCCAGATGCCCGAAATCCAAACCCTAAGCCTATGCCTGTGCAGGTGCTCACAGAGTAGTGGTGAGATGCTACTGTTAGGGTTGAGAGTCTAGTGCTTCCTGCAGCTTAGAGGTTTCGGAGCGTCACAAGATCAACAATACATTGCTGGCCTTCCTCTCTGAGCGTTGACCGAGCACAGTCCAGTAGCCCATCATAGGGTTGTCTGCCCAAACCGCTCGGGGTACTCTGCAGCCGTATTCCTGGAGTTCTGAATGAGGTCTGCGAGGGGAAACAGCCCTAGAATCTAAAAACCAAACCCCAATTCACATATGCCTATGCCAGGCCATTGCTGAGCATGCGTGCAAGAACCCACGAGGAAACTAGCTCGATTGCCATCTGCAGGTTCAAGGCTGCCCATGCAAAAAATGTGTGTATGTGTATGTGTGTATGTGTGTATGTGTGTATGTGTGTATGTGTGTATGTGTGTATGTGTGTATGTGTGTATGTGTGTATGTGTGTATGTGTGTATGTGTGTATGTGTGTATGTGTGTATGTGTGTATGTGTGTGTGTGTGTTGGTCGTGCGCGTGTTGTGCACACACAAAATGCTTTCCAAGGTGCGGATTGTGTCGAGAGGCTGCGTGGCCAAGCATCCAACGGCTCCGGCCTTGAAAACAGGCTTCAGGGCATGACCCTTTCGGGTGTGAGTATCGTGAGAGCATTCTGGTTAGGCTAGTTATGGTTGTCCGCCCTTTTTGAATGCAGTTGAGGCATGCTTACAGCGAAGGTTTGGCAATGAACAGGGAAGTCATAATTAAATGCCCCCAAAAGATCCCAACACATGGCCCAGCGGCCACACCGCCTGCAAGCAGATCGATGGCCACCGACATGGCCAGCAAGTTTTGACGTTTCAGGCTTTCGGCTAGTGGCTAGGGCTGCGGCGGCATCGCAATGCAGGCAAGACGGTGATATGTAAAGGTCGGGCTAAGCTATGACGAGGCACTTGCTGACGGGTGGTATGATGATTAATTGCCAAGAGCCTGTTTAGCTCATTTGGAAGATTGAATCTCACAGGAAACTTTCTGCTCTCCACATGCTGTCAAACCCTAAACCCTAAACCCTAAACCCTGAACCCTAATTCCTAAACCCTAAACCCCTCGGTTAGACTTGCAGCCCCATGGAAAATGCGATGTGTTGACTCATCCGATGGGATAAACATCGTACCAAGGCATTGCCTTGCGGCTTGTGGCAGAGGTTCAGCCGACCATTGAGGTTTAGGGTTTAGGGTTTAGGGTTTGGGGTTTAGGGTTTAGGGTTTAGGGGCTTCGTGATCTCGCCGAAAGTAACGATGGGGTCACGCCGCGGGCCAACGACTGTATATGAATGTGAAGGGACCAGAGAATCTTCAAGACCAAGACTCGTCAACCCCGAATACCCCATCGATTCTGGGGCCCTGAGGTTCTGCCCCGGTGTAAGGCTAAAGGATCCGTGTGACAATCGTTCGTTTGCAGGTTTTACCGTTACCCGCGAAAATGGGGGGGGGGGGGCAGCAACATCCGCAAAGCCTGCCGGGACAAATATGAAGCCATGCAATCCCCCGGAGGCTCGCTTGGCTTCTTGATCCCAGTGAAGATGTCGTCGTCTGCATCTACGTTCGTAGACTTGAGAAGAACACATGGCGGATTGCAACCATCAGAGCCGACATGAGTTCATGACAGTTCAAGCAAGTTGTCGTCTCGTTTCTTTCGTGGCCAACAGGCCTGCGCCTGCATGCAATTACTATGCTCCCCTTAGAACCTTAATAAAAATAATATGTTTAATATCCTCTTGGGTTTCATATAAACAGAAATAGAAAAGTAATTCCCAAGGGGGATTGAGAGTACACATTGTCACATTGCCCATGCTGGAGCTCCACCTAAGCCACCAAACTCGAACCGGAAAAAGCGGCCCTAAACCCTAAACCCTAAACCCTAAACCCTAAACCCCTCGTTTCGGCTTCTTTTCCCACCTGGCGTCGACTCTGGCTGCGGTCGGTGCCTCCCCTCGACCGCCTGTGCCAAGGTACGGATTTGTTTGTATACTTAGCTTGAAAAAAACTATACACTTTTTAGGTATAAGTAGCTATAATAGGAACCCAGAACCAAAAAAATATATTAAAGTATAGTACTCCAAAACCCAGTATATGACTGCAACCCATGTGAAGCAGGGGTTATATTACTGTCTTTGGTGAGTGTATATAAGGTTCCTTTTTAACATTGGTGATTGTATACCTTGGATGTCCTTTTGGGGGTACAAGAAATATAAACCCTACATCATGTCTGCGCAGCACTGCAAGGACAATTTGAGGAGATGTGCGATTGAGGATGAGGCCCGCGTAAGGAGCATCAGAGCCTTTGTGGGCGAAAAGGCTTGAGATGAGATAGGTGCTTGTAGAGTCAACATCGTTTCACAGGCAAGGGTGTCTGCAGCCTAAACATTCAGCAAGCCTGCACCCAGGTGGAGTGATGTAGACCGCTTCACAGCAAAGAGCTTCTCGCTGCCCCACTGTGCAGGCTGTGAGTAATTACAGAGATTCCCGATACTCTACGTATGAAAAGGGGATATTGAAATCGCAAGCCCCCAAAACCATGAACCACCAAGCTACGATCCCTCACGTCGACCAATATGGACCCTGCTCTCTGCCAACCTCAGCGCCACCTGACACTCTTTGTCTATGTCTCCATGAGAACAGTAGTTAGGGTTTCGGGTTTCGGGTTTAGCGTTTAGGGTTTTGGCCTGCCCAGGTCCTTTCATCAGCCGCCGGCGAAGCCTTAGCTTCTGTTGGCCCTTCTTCATGCTGTGTATGGACTTGTCCATGGTGCTCCTACTGCTTGTGCAAAAGTTTCTCAACAAGTCCGGGGAGCAGCGATGTGAAGTAAGCAGCAGGTTTCTTCACTGTGCTTGCCTTGGGATCCAGGGCAGGCTGGGCAACAGAAAGCACTGTCAGATGCCCGAGCAATCTCTACATCCTCATCGACAAGAGCACGGCCTCCAACCTATGGGAGTGGTCAGGAGCTTGACGTACCCGCATACCGACTACGCTACACAGAAACCCCTGAACTCCCCCGGCTATCTGGCAAAGCCACAAGCAGAGGTGCCCTCTCTAATTCAGGTTTCAGTCTAAGTCTAGGACCTGGGACATTTTTCGATGTTCTTCAAGCCTTGTTCTCCCAACTCTGTGGCTCTCGACACCCGCTTTCAGAGATGCCGGAAGCTACAAGCTGGAGTCGTTGACTTGCGTCCGTACTTCTTAGAATGCCTCGGATGTGCGCAGATCTGCCGCAGGCAGCCAAAAACATTAATGTTTTCGCCTAAACAAATCAGACACACGTACACACGTAACAATCTCAACCAACCAAGGTTTCAACATCTTTGAAGATGCCGACGCACCCCCTCTTTCCCAAGCTTGAGCCCGAACCCTAAACCCTAAACCCTAAACCCTAAACCCTAAACCCTAAACCCTAAACGCGCAAAGACCAAATCGTCATCCTGAACTCCAGACCCTACACACAAGCCTCAGAACAGTCTCAACCCCGAAGCCACACAAACACAAACGCGCAGACCTCCCTAACGGACATCAACCCCTTATAATTAAGCCCTAAACTCTATATAACCCTAGACTTAGAGCCCAAAAACATCTCCGAAGCGCTCCGTTATCGTTACTTCCTACCTCCCGTCGAAGGAGGGCCCCCGCCTTGGCCTGGAAGGTGCGCAGGCACCGCCTGGCGTGCTCTTCCTGCGTGCGCCCAAGGAGCCTGCAGTCGCCCACAAGGACGCTTCTAATCCCTTTTCGTAAACCCCCACATGTCACTGGTCAAAAAACCCTACCCTGCCTCAGGGCACACGGTCCGAGTTGTTGCTGGAGTTCCGGGCTCGTTTGCAGCAGCCTCTGAGGCGAAGGGGGAGGATGCGAGGTGGACATGTCTATGTGACAAGGTGCTCCAAGAGGGGCCTCGAACCCTAAACCCTAAACCCTAAACCCTAAACCCTAAACCCTAAACCCTCATGTTTCAGGGCTTTTGAGATGGTAGCGGCTCTGAGGATCCCCAAAAATCCCAAAACCCTCATCTTTATTGGGGACGAAAGGAACCCCTAAAGTTGTGGTCATATACTATGTACTACTCTAATGCCTACTAAGGCATATGAGCCATAAACCCTTCTAGGGTTCATTTGGTCCCCAAGGTCTCCTCCCAACCCTTTTTGTTGCAACAGGCTTCGCAACCCTAAACCCTAAACCCTAAACCCTAAACCCCTCATCCCTGCCTGCTCTTTCCGAACTCATTACAGCAGTAACCTCTCGACAGGTGCCCGAGTGGCTTCCTCACCCTCCAGCTGCCAAATGGCGTGCCATAGTCTTGCCTGGCTTTAGGGTTTAGGGTAGGGTTTAGGGTTTAGGGTTTAGGGCTTTAGGCAGGTTCCTGAGACATGTGTTGCCCGCTCAGTCGGGATTGTTTTTGGAGTGTGCAAGCCGTCGAGAAGCAAACCCACCCAACCAGGATTTTGTGAGCAAGGAAACGCCTCTACACCCCAACGGGAACATCTTGTCGCCGTTCAGCTGCGCATGGTGGGCGGCATGTTGAGGCACTCCATGTCTGAAACTTAACCCGCGGCTTGCAGAATTATTGAAACCTGCATACTGTGTGACCACAGGCGCTGGACATGTCCAACCCCCGCAGCCCGTGGGTTCCAGTCAAACTCTTAAGACTCCTAACCATGAAGCAGGTGGGTGGGGACTGCTGGACTGCCCTTGAACTCTATGTGAGCAAGTCTCAGGGATTCCTTGGCATGGCTAAGAGGCTGCAAGGTCAATGGTTCTCTACAACGCATCCTTGCACAGCTGAAGCCTGCATACTTGCCAGGCCTCATGGCCTTCGACCGAACCTGAACCCCACAACCCCAAACCCGAAACCAGCTAAAACCCGGCAAGTTGATCCGATCCCGCCAGCAAAATAAAAACCGCCGAAGCTGATGCCTTAGACACCCCAAACGCTCATCTGAAAAGCCAAGTATCCACGGCCCCCGCTGGCTCAACGCCTTCCTCACAGGTTGCCGTTGAAACATACCCTCAGGCTCCAAACAACCAGTAGGCACTATCTATAGACTTTAGACCCCAATGTAGGTATTTGCATACTTGGAGCCCTAGGGATACACATTCTGAGCTTCTTAGCGCCCGGGCAATCACCAAGCCAACCTCAAATTTGGTGAGGGCCGCTCGCCCGCATGGCTTTCCACCTTCGAAAATCGTGCGGGCTGCTGACCCGCACTGTTTTTCACACACACACACACACACACAAGCCAACCGCAAATTCGGTGCAGGCTGCTCGTCCGCATAAATTTGGTGCGGGCCGCTTTCAAGCCGACGGCAACCGTTTTTCAGACACCAACGGGCAGCTAGTGCGGGCAGCGCGCCCGCACAGCTTTCAACCAAGCCGAAATGCGAGCGGGGCCTGACCCCCTCGCACCCTTTTCAGTGATTCAGCACCACGCCAACCTCAGGTTCGGCGCGGGTCCGCTCAAGCCAATCCCTTCCCCCTCTCCCCCACCCTCTCCCCACCCCTGCTCAAGGACCCAACAAACTGAATCCGTGCTCAGGGTTGATGATCCCACTATCACCCACTTGACCCTAAACCCTAAACCCTAAACCCTAAACCCTAAACCCTAAACCCTGTCATCCCCTGGAAGGCAGGCAAAGCGGCAGCAGCCCCAGCGCGTACTTGGTCGGGTTCCTTCGATGGCGCAGACTTTTGCAAGGCAGGGCTTGTTTTGGGGACCAAATGAACCCTAAAAATTGGGGGTCATATACCCAATTTTACTACTATAATTCCTCTTAAGGTATATGAACCATAAACCCTTTTAGGGTTTTCGTCCCCAAGGTGTGGCCTACATATACCCGTCGCCCGAATGGGAAGGTCATGTTTTAGGTGCTCGAGGTTCCATGTTCGTGGTGAGTCCGCCACCCTTCGCCCGAAGTCTACAGCACGTCTACAGCACGGACCCTGCCAGGACCTAAGCGGCCTCCCTAAACCCTAAACCCTAAACCCTAAACCCTTATAACTTGTGTCCCTGTTTATGCCAAGCGTCTCAGTGCTACTTTGCGCCACTTCCTGGAGGACTGCCTCAGCATCCCCGGAGTCGGCGAACCTGAAAAGGGTTTAGGGTTTAGGGTTTGGGGTTTGGGGTTTGGGGTTTGGGGTTTAGGGTTTTAGGGTTTAGGGCTTGAAATATCGGGCGCGCTACGTTCAGCAGTCGGTCGAAGGGCTTGAGGGCTTGGGGGTCGAGAGGTTTCGAAACGGGAACCTGCGTGCTTTCTTGAGGCGTGGAAGTGTGAGGGCCTTGGGTGGTCTAAGTTTTATGCACGGTTGGGGGCCTTTCGCTGCCTTAAGCCTTACTAAGTTGTCCAGTACCTAGGGGTTTTAAAGGTTAACCTTTGGGATTATAAGGGGAATATAGTAACCCAAAAAGGTTCAAGGTTACCTACTCTACTACTAAGCTTACATGTGCGACGAGTTTTTTTGTTGTTGGCGGGGAGGGGTACCCCTGCAAAAAGTCTAGACTCTAAACCTTGTCAGCCCCGACTCTCCCACACCCTGGCATTCTCCAGTTTGCGGAACCTTAGGATGCTTCTGAATTTAAGGGTTTATCGGGTTTATAGGGTTTGTAGGGTTTATGGGGTTTATAGGGTTTAGAGGGTTTAAGGTTTAGGGTAAGTTCTCAACCTCCCCCCCCCGCACGAAAGTCCAACCAAAGATCTTCAAGGTCTCAAGGAAGGAGTCATCGAAAGAGGCCTCGCGCACACGCTCACAGGGGCTTACCAGACAGTGACATGACAGTCTTAAAACCCATGAGGGTTTAGGGTTTAGGGCAAATCCGAAAAATACCCAGGGAAATAAGGGCCTACTCTGGGTCCTGTTAGCTTCAGCTCTAAGGTTTTCACGCTCGACACCGCTCGGAAGCGGGTGTCGCCCACACTGCGGGGCTTGAAGATCGAGGGGCACGCTCGTTTAGGGTTTACGGTCTACGGTTTAAGGTTTAGGGCTTTGGGCTGACCAAAAAAATATTCAATTGAGAATATTGCTTATCCACTTTGTTCGCGGCCGAGTTAGTTTCAAGATCGTGGAGTTGGAAGGGGCTCTACTAACTGCCTCTAAATGCTCTTTCCAGGGTCTCTTTTTCATGGTTTGAGCAGCTGCTGTCTGGATTTAGTCAGGGGCCTAAGTTTTTTGGCAAGCCTACGAAGCAGCGTCTGAGGACGAAATGAGGATTTGGCAATCATGATTCAATCCTGCACCGTTCGCAGTTGAGCCTTCACCTGCCTCGACAGTTTGCGGGACTCAGAAACGAAACCTCCTTCCAATAGACCTTGAACCTCAAATCCCATGTACGCAAACCCGGCCAGCCTTGAAGCCCGAAAGCTACCCTCTTCTTGCTTGGGCGAGCACCTTTAATGCCGGAAATCGCTTCAACAGCTGCTCCACGCCTTCCGAGACGACGGACTCACTTGCAGATTTAAGGTGGTGTGCATGCACATGGGGCGTCCATGCCCGGAGCTCACTAAAGTCCGACTTCGGCGTGACATGCAAGCCCTTTCAAGCAGGATTTTAGGACGTCGCCGGCACATCTGAAAAGACTCTCAACCCTTGTTCGTCCGGCCGGCATAGCCTATGCTTGCCGGGGAACTTCAGTGACCAAACCGAAGAAAAACGCAAGGACGATGTTGGTTGCGGAGGCACTGTACATCCACAAAGCAGCTGCTCGTTCTATCTCTTGAAACTGCTTGCGTGCCCAGAACCCTAAACCCTAAACCCTAAACCCTAAACCCTGCTTGTGGTCTGCCCCATCCGAGGATAGCGAAGTGTCCGGAAGCACAGCTCCGGGGCCGGTTGCAAACCCGAAAGCCCCTTGGGGACCAAATGAACCCTCAACTTGGGGCCATATACCCATTACTACTATAATCCCTACTATAATTCCTATCAAGGTATATTACTACTATAATTCCTATTCAGGTATATGAACCCTAAACCCTTTTAGGGTTCATGTCGTTTCCAAGGAACGCTTTGCGAAGGTGACGCTGGCCTTCCGCGCCCAGGGGTGCCTTTGCGCTCTTGGCCCAAGCTGAGTTCGCGCCACCTGGGCGGAGGAACCGCCGAGTAGCGAGAGGAAGGAGCCCCCAACAACTCCAGCCTAGGGTTTGTAGGGGTTTCGCCACCCGCACTGCGCGCACACAAGCACCCGCTCCGCAGGGTTAAGTCGAGGTCTCCGGGAGTGGAGGTTTGTAGGGGTTTGTAGGGGTTTAGGGTTTAGGGTTTAGTGTTTCTAGTATATAGGCTGCAATTACGTTACCACGACTTGAACAACGAAGCCAAACTCCCAACCCAACCCAAGAGCCGGAATCCCGTTGCAGAGCTGGACTCTTTCGATGAGAAACCCCAGACATCCTCAAATAGGGGCCCCCAGAACCACGAAAACATAGGGATTCTGCAAAAGAGGGCTTGAGGGTTTAGGGTTTAGGGTTTAGGGCTTTCCGGACTCCTCGTTCTGGGGGCCCTCAGACCCCATCGTAGGGTCCTTAAGATTATGTGGGTTTGTGGTCCCCTACTCAGAAACCTAAACCCTAAACCCTAAACCCTACACCCAGACTCCAAGGCTGGATCTCCCTGGAGCTGGGGAATCTTGGGCGAGGCGCTCAGCAATGAGACCAGGAAAGCCTGGAGCTAAACTTGGGGGTTAAGTGGGTTTAGGGTTTAGGGTTCAGGGCTTAGGTTTTTTTTGGGTTTTGGGGTTTAGGAGCTTAAGTTTCTGAGGCTTCGGTCTTCGGCTCAGGCTTAACTGAGTCTTTCGGCTGAGAGGGTTTGGAGTATGGTACTTGAGGAGTTGTGATTCACTTTATGTCGAGGCCAACGAAAGCTAGCCTAGGGCCTAGACGCGACGGCACGCTGTCAGGAAGCGATGCGGGCGCAGCAACATGACTACGCCTACGCCTGCTCCTATAGGGTCCGCTGAGCTATCTAGCTCCTATCAATATTGACAGCACATTCCCTTGAAACTGTCAATGGCTTCCCCCACAACCCCCCCGACCCCCCCCAAGAACATTTAGGGTTTAGTGTTTAGGGTTTAGGGTCTAGGGATTAGGGTGTGGAAGGCCACCTTCATCCCATGACAGAATCAATAGCTCGCAGCCGTTCAAGCTTGCCCGGCCCTCAAACTAAACTCCTCACAAACAGGTGATCACCTTTATATCATTATAGTAGTGTACGATTTATACTATTCTACTATTGTACCATTAAACTATGATATGACTCTATTAGCATGTAAATATATTACATTCTTGTATGTTATATAATACAAGTATATGATAATGTTACTACAATATTTTTATTGTTCTACTCGTGTGTTAAAACAATATTCATACAATGATTACAGTATAATTCTGAGATTCCGTGCCAGGAAGCCGATGGATTGCGTGTGTTGTTGGCCGACAGGCCCAGAACGTCCATCACTTCCTTTAGGCGGTTTTTAGGGTTTAGGGTTAAGGGCCTTTTAAGGGTATTTTGGGGTATTTTGGGTTTTTTAAGGGTTTGTAGGGGGAGTGTTTGGGCCCACATGGTTTTTGTTGGGGGTTGGGGGGGGGGGGGGGTTGTAGGGCTTATAGCATTTTAAGGGTGTAGAGGGTTTGAGAAGTAGGGCTTACAGGGTTTATAGGCTTATAGGATGTGTCGGCGCCGAAGCTGCCAAACTAGCCCCAAAAAGATTCAGGCGTCAACTCAACCCAGATCCAAGCGGAAGTTCGTAGCGTAGAAACACACTAGAGCCTCAGATACCCCAGAAGCCGAAACGGCCAAAAACTGTCGGCCCGAAGTTACACATATGTAGGATCCACAGAAGGGTGCCTTACACACTCCGACTCCAATCCCAAGTCCAAAACGGCCCGCAAGCGCAGAAATCAATCCATGAACTCAACATCGTGCAACGCCCCGTCCTTGGCACGCGTGGCGTCTGCCCGCTCCAGCAGCCGCAGGGCACAGGGCTGAAGTTGATCTAAGTTTCAGGGTATACTCAGATTCAAGTAGTACTTTCTTGCTCCTTTCTGGGCTAAGGGGTGCAGAACACCATTGGTTCGGGGTGTTTTGGGTTTATAGGAGTCTAGGCTTAGCTCGCGTTTAGGCTTTCGGATTACCGTTTATGACTCTAGCACGAGGCAGGCAAGGCAATGGTCAAAGGGTACACTGGAAGCACCCCGCGACAAGGACTCTGCGAATCAGGTTCAGGTTCTTATTTCTTGCTTCCTTACTTTATTTGGTTGAATTTGCACACCTTTGCTCGAGGCCAAGACTATAGCACAAAAAGTTACAAGTCACTAATCATGGGAAGCAACAACTACGGCGCCCATTCTATTCTCTTGTGAGCCCTATGGTGCCTGACTAGGCTCGTAGGTTTGACTGCTTTTGCTTGGGTTTTGCCATTATTCGAAGTGGCTGCCTGTACATGCGTTCCAAGCTTTCTTGCTAGGCTTCCGAAGGTTTTGCCTTGAGCTGCTTGAAGGTTCTACTGCTTTGCCTAAACCCTAAACCCTAAACCCTAAACCCTAAACATCCCTAAACCCTAAACCCTAAACCCTCAACCCTAAACCCTAAAGCCTTGGCTAGGTTGGCTTTGCTCTGTGCCCCTGTGAACTCTGCGCTTCTCTATTTGGTGTTCTGGAGTTGTCTTCCCAGATCTTCCAAAACCCCTAAATTAAGGTAGATACCCTAAGTTTTACTAAGGATCCTTATTCTGAATTAGGACGGTATATACCTTAGTTAAGGGGTTTTGGAAGATCTGGGTTATGGTGGTTGTGTTGATTCTACGGCTTTCTGCAACGACTGCGCCGCACTTGGCCTTGTTTCTTCTTGCGCTTGCAGAAAGTAGCAAGCGTTCTTTGTTGCTTCCGCTTTTCGTAGGATTCCACGACTGCAGCGAAGAAGGTTTCAAACGATCTGGAGCCTCCGGAAATTATAGGTTTCTTGCATGGTTGGAGTGTTTTCCAACGAGTGAATTCCTTGAAGGTGAACGCCGAGGAAATTAAGCCTGAGAGTCCGTTTTAATGAGTGATCAAGGTACTTGCTTTTGACATTCATCCCTAGGAACTGAGGGCGTAGCAAGACAGAAGCCCTCAAGCAAATTCTCCTGCCCCTACACAATGGATCCAAGGAAGTTTTTGGGACGATTCCTTGGGAGATGCCTTGGCGCCTGCCGAAGAAACATCCTTATGGAGTCAGACTTTTCTGGGGTGCTTTGCGAGTCTGGGCGAGCAACATTTCACACTATTGCAGCTTACATTGCTAGTCAGAGGCCACATGATTCAGGGAGCTTTTTCTAATTTTCGAATTCGGGCGCTCGGGTTCTGACTGTCAGCTGGTGGCGGCCGTAAAGCAAAGCCTCAAACCCGAAACCCTGCAATACCCACCCTCCAAGCTACCCACATCAAAAAACCTAGTAGAAGCGCGAATACGCCCTCACATCTCAATCGCAAACACGCACGTTGCTGATGCAGAGCGGCCCCGTAGGTGTGGGTACTTGGAGACGAGACGGTCCGCACCATCTCTGCCCAGCCTCTTTAAGTTATGTGCCGCGATTGAAGCTGAGGAATATGAAGTATGAACGGGCTTCAGGCCCTTTAAGGCGAGTTTAGGGTGCGTAGGCGGAGAGAATGAGCCTGCCTTCAGTAAAGGGATGCCCGTTATTCTTAACTTCGGAATATGAGGCCTGGCAGAAGCCGGTTCGGGCGTTAACTCATCCCTAAGGCGAAGCTTGTGTCTAGGGCCTCAGTCGGCATCTCAGGGTGTGAAGTTGGGAGACTCTTGTCACCTTTTGATGCAAGTCCCAGGAACGGGCTCGACGTGTCCAACAGGGGGCTCGCCGCACTCAAGCTGTTGAGCAGGCCCTTCCTCAGAAGAGCGTTCGGGTTGAGCCGAGCCGAAGCCAGAAACTTGGGCGTGGGGCCGAAGGTGTAGATGT